AAACAGTAAGCTAAGATGCTCAKTGACTTATTGTGCAATAAAGGTAAGTCATGGTGTCCTTCCTAGTACAATATAAGCAAAAAAATCATTGTACCTGTAATATACCTGTAGGCTTCCTAAAGTACTTAGAGGACTGATCCCTGTGCTACTAATTTCCAGTTAAGTGCTGCTTCTCACTTTTTGGCCACATCTCTCCCTACAGCAGTTGGTCCCCTGACATCAAATTATGCTGAAGAATAGCCAAGTAAGTCATTGAGGTAGCCACTGGTTGTCAGTAAACCAGTCAACTATGCCATTTTATCTTCTATGGAAAGCATTGTTTGTTTTGATTTGTTTCTCTGTTGCTGGCACTAAGAAACGGTGCTTGCCTCTGACTGTATTGTGGGACCTAGTGGCTATTTCCAGCTGCTGAATCCAGCTTTGTGTCCGTGTTACACTACTTTGGGATGAAAGTTCAGTCCTTGTCATTTCTTCTGGTATGCTGGGAAAAGCCAGTGAGGGGTATAGACCAGAAGAAGGTTGCAGAGTACTCCCAGGGGATCCTGTTTATGGCTTGCACAGTGGAGAAGCCTTGTGATGAAGACTTTGTCACAAGAATATATTCAATTAATCACTTCTAATGTTTGCTTAGTTACCCTTCTGGTTTCTGCTGAGACATTAATTGGGCTTTTGAGGAATAGGTCCTTACTGGTAAGTCAACATTGATTTTGCAATGTTTGATAGTTGCTGGAACAGGTATTTCACTATGAGCTATATTGAAAGGAGTCACACATAAATATACAGTGGTGCTTCTCTGTAGTTGAAATCTAAGCATTTTGCAGGGAAAACCCATGATTTTGGTAGACTTCGTTGTAGTAAAGGACTTTTCTAAATTCATGGAAATGTGTTACTTCCGTCACTTACAGAAATAAATTGTGCCAATCATTAAAAATGTAAAAACTTGGAATTGTTGCATATTTCTACATTTTGCCTAGTAATGAAGAATAAGACTGTCATGCACCTGAAAAAATTTTATGTGTCTATTTGAATTCTACTTACCTCTAGGCAATACTTAAATAATTGCATCCCATATGACTGGGGCTTTTTGATGTGCCCAAGTTGTGGCCCGCAATTTACAGTTTTGCCAGAATATGCTAAAACATGCAAAATCATCACATAAGCAGGAGATAGTTGTGATTTTGCTTTCAATTTTTCTCATAATTTCATGTGGAAGGCTGGTTTGAATATATATACAAAACTATTTTTTTTCAGAATAAAACAATAAGGTATTCAAAATGCCATGAGGTGCTTCTAAACTTTTGATTCAGGTAATATTTAAAATGTAAGCATAGGTGATATCGGTACTGCTACATTTAACTGCACACTGCAACATACGTCAGTTTTCAGAAACCTCTGACATGATCATAAAAAGGGAACTGAGGATAATTTTGGGGGATTGTCTTTACTATAAGTTGTGCTAAGTGCATTTGTAAAGAGAAAAGTTACTGTAATTACAGTGGCCACTCTAATTACAGTGGTTCCAGAAAACACATGAACACAAGATAAAATTATTGAAGCTTCTTAAAACACCCAAATGYTTAAATAACATACATGTTCAAAACCCTCAACAATGATATGGGCCCTTTTCCTCCTTTAAGGATTTGAAGAAAAAAATAAGATTATAAATTTTCTGGATACCTCAGGCAAAAGTTCTTATGAAGTTGAAGGCAATAAACACTGTTCTTGTCATGCTGGAGGACTGTAGGTGGGACCCTCAATAAGAATGTCTGTGTCATACACCTTTGTGTGATTCTGTGCACGAATTTGTTTGTGTGTGACAGACTGCTGAAACTACACTGGTAATAGCTCTTCAAACTAGAATTCTTGTATGGTTGCCAAGTTCATTTTACATGCCATGACAAGAATGTACCCTTGTGTGAGTATCACTAGTTGAAGCTGCTGTTGATGAAATTCATATCAGCCAATTCTGCACCATGAGACTTGGAGTTTTGAGGTGAGGAATAGATGGCATTGCTGGAACACTTAACTAAAAAAGTAATAGAAATATTAATAAAGTAAGGAAAAGATGGATATTTAGCAAATGTAGCAAAATGGTGGAAAGTACTGCAATAGACATATCATTTTAGTAGCTGGTACTCCTTACACCCCCTCTCCATCTTTATCAAGTTGTCTTTTCTTGCTCTCAGGAAACTGTAATGGATACAAATAGGACTTGTGTTTTATTCCGTCTATTATCCTTCCAAAAGGCAGTCCCACTTTTTTAACCTTCTTGTTCATGCTTTCTCAAGCAGTACTATCAGTACTATCCTTACAGTCCTTTAAAAACATTCCTGAAGACCAACTGGTTCTATGAACTGTTTTAGCTGTAAAGAACACACCCCAGATGTGTTTGCTCTGATTTATCTTGCTTGGTACTGCTCTACTTTTGTACTTTGTACTTTAAACTGGGGCAGGGAACATTTGTTGTATCAATATATAAATGATATCACTAAGACAAGGACTGGCACACAGGGCTTTTTCCCCTTTTAAAATACAAATATGTAAATACCGTGTATTACACTATGCAGCTATAGGAATTATTTTTGTTCTTAGGAATAATACAAAGAAAACTTAAATTATTCTACATGAAGGAAATAGAGACATTTTAAAGACATGTATTTCATATATATTTAGCTCCTTTCTACAAGAAACAAAAAATATTTTATAGAACCAACCCATATAAGATATTACATGCATCAGCTGTTTTTCTTCCATTTTGATAATTTAAGAAGCAAATAGTACAAAGTGTTACAGTAACTAGAAATTCTTATGGAAATAAGCTTCTTAGCTGACTGTGTTAGACAGGGAAAGATTCAAATCTTTCAAATCCCTTGAGTGGAGATATTTGGATCTTAGAATGCCCTTGATTTAACCCACATGGCTCTATTTCTACTCTATTTGATTGTTTTAGATGTTCTTCTTGTCACCACTATGTGTTTATGAAATTTTAAAACTTTCAACTATGTATTAGGTCATTGGGAACTTGCCATTGGGTGAACTTAGCCATACATAATGTATAAACTGTTCCCCCAAAATTAAAAAAACATTCCCTTAAAAATAAAAAATCAGAGCCATAGCTTGACAGTTAAGCATGAAGGTTTCTAAGACTTGGATTTCAGGTGCTCTGCTGCTTGAGACCAATTATGGTCTGCTCCTTCTTAATTACTAGCAATAACAACAAAAAAAWTAGAATCATGGAAGTATTTTCATTGGAAAAGACCTTTAAAATATCAAACCCAACCATTAACTCAGCATTGCCAAGTCCACCACTAAACCGTGACCGCAAGCACCACATSTATAGACCTTTTTAAGTACCTCCAGGGATGGTCACTCCACTTTCCTGGGCAGCTTGTTCCAGTGCCTGAAAATCCTTTTTGGTGAAGAAATTTTTCATCAAATCCAATCTAACCCTCCCCCTGTCCATCTGACCATTTTCTCTTGTTCTATCACTTGTTACCTGGAAGAGGAGGCTGATCCCTACTTCATTACAACCTACTTTCAGGTAATATAGAAGGTGAWAAGGTTCCTCTGAGCCTCCTTTTCTCCAGGCTAAACATCTCCAGCTCCCTCAGCTGCTCCTCATAGACCCTTCGCTGGCCTTGTTGCTCTTTTCTGGGCACACTTCAGCACCTCAATGTCTTTCTTATAGTGAGGGGCCCAAACTGGACATGGGATTCAAGGTGCAACCTCAYCAATGCTGAGCACAGGGGGACAATCACTTCCCTGGTCCTGCTGGCCAACTGCTGATCCAAGCCAGGATGCCATTGGCCTTCCTGACCACCTGGGCACAGCTGGCTCATGTTCAGATGCTGTCAACCAGTACCCCCAGGTCCTTTTCTGATGGACATCTTTCCAGCTCCTCTGTCCCAAGCCTGCAGTGATGCATGGGGTTATTGCGACCAAAGTACAGGACTCAGCACTTCACCTTATTGCAGCTCAATTGTCCTCAGCCCCTAAGTCCAGCCTGTTCTGATCTGCAGATCCTCTACACAGTGTTCTGACCCTCCAGCAGATCAACATCCCCACCCAGCTTGGTGTTGTCTGCTATATGGTAGAAGGAGGATTTTAACATCTCCTGTTTGAAGCTCTTGGTATTGAAAAATTATTATACTCTGTGTTAGGATATTTACTTAGACAGTAAATGTCTTCAAGATTTGCTGATCAGAAATGCCTTCATTTTTTTCAAATAAATTTAAAGGTAAGTCACAGTCAAAYTAATTTCTCGTGTGGACTTTAGTATTTCCAGTGATGACTAATTATCTGTGCTTGAAAATTTGACAGGATGGCTGTCTACTGTAACTTATGTGCTGTGTTAAAACAAGGCAAAAAAATGAAGAGAAATAAGTCATCTAGAACACAGTGTTCTTTCAAATTCAAAGGATCTGTAATAAATAAACTAACTAATAAATACTGATGTTGCATGTCACTGAGGATGACAGACTACTGTTACTTCACGATATGAAGTTTCCTGACATTTACTTTATTGGAACATCTTAGAAATGAAATAAAGAGGAATACATGTACTTAAATCTTGAAGAATATGTAAATAATAGACAGATGTAAAAAAATCAAGAGAAAAGTGTTATTAAACTTAACCTTTTTTTCCCCAAATATCTATTTTCTCATTAATTTTTCTGTGACAACTGTCATATACAGCTTGTGGTACTTGTTCTGGAGTCATTTTGTTGGTTTGATTTTTCTGAGCCATTAGGATTTAAAAATGGATACCTTTGTCCATAAAATTTTTGACAAAAACACACCTAATTTTCTTATTCTTGGATAGATAATTTTAGGGACCCACCATGCACTCAGTTATGAGGTGATTATTTCAATATTTGTGCTTACCAATCTAATAACTAATGTTCTGTCACATGGCACAATCTGTACAAGCCACAGGCTGTTAACTGTATTCCAGCCTTAAAATATTGAAACATAAACAAGTGAAAGGGGATAGTGCTTACCAAGTTAGTTTGTATAGTGCTTTCCCAGTCCTTCTCATTGTTCACTCCGGCATTATTAACCACAATATCCAGCCTTCCAAAATGTTCAATTACTTTTTTGAAAGCACCTATAGTGTAAGATCCAAGAGTGAAATTTTTTAGAACTTTGGAAAGTAAGATATAAAATACAGTGCATACATAGAAATGAATCATTTATTAGTCTACCAAAATGTCTTCATTATTTTCTTAGCCATTAGTGAGCAACATACATTTAAATTCTTTATCTAACATACACAAACATTAGATATATTCAGGGAAACTGGAAGGATCAAGGTAGCATTGTTGCCTTTTCATTGTTTTATAATGTCTGATAACAGGAGCTAAAGAAAGCTTTTAGGCACTATACAGTTTGTATTAGGATGTTTGGTACCTCAATTATATAAACTAAGCCTTTATAGCTTGATTTGTGACAGTTTGATATAGTTAGTGAATTCAAGATTTGACACCATTTATTTTGAATGAAAAATARAAGTTTCATATGTTCAGAACAATTTGCTTCATTCAGTCCAAATTTAAACTAGTAACAAAACTTTTATTTAATTAATATCTGATATGAATATTCCAAGTACAAATGATTAATCATGTTTCTTGTTTAGATGTATCTATTTATGGATAAGTTGTGATATATTCTACTTGTCAGGTAATGTTAATAATGCATTTCTYAAATTCAAATCTTCTTTTCTGAGGATAAAAATAGTGACCTGTCTTCCAAAGAATTTCAAAATAAGAATTGGGAAACTTCCATAATGACATCGTGTTCTCCCAGGTGACAGTGTTAGAACCAAGATAAAAGATGCGTATGGAAAAAACATAATGATGTCATAATGAGGAACAAACTCATCAAGCCTGGCTCTGCTTTGACAAGATAGTTGGATGAGATGTCTTCCAGATATTCATTCCAGACAGAAATGTTCCAGAGCTGAGGACATCATTTGACATGTATATATAGCTTGCTTGTTTTCCCCTCCAAATATTGTTCCTTGTCACTAAACATTTAATATTATGTAAACCAAGACATCGCCCCTCCCCAATATTGTTTCAAAAAACATTGTTTGGTGTCTWACTCAAAATCAACAATATTTCAGGTATGCTGAAATTATGCTTGAGGACTTAATGAAATCACTTCACTGAAAGGTGATCCCAGAAGCATCTTCCTTCTCTGATCTTTAGTGCTTGGCTATTCGTGTCAATCATGTGCACAACATCAGCATTGAGACATCTACCTTTTTTCTGCTGAAGTTGCAGGGGTTTGCAAAGCTTTTCTTGCAACAGATTTTTCTTTGCCTCAGTGCTGCAGGCCCAGCATAGTCGACATCTTGTCATCAAAACAAGAACTAAGCAGCTGATGGGAGGTTTTATTTGTCCAGCTGCCTTTATTTTACAGGTTTTTCTAAAATTCTTATTCCATACTAGAATATTGTAATGTACTAAATCCTCTAGTTCTGTCTGTCTGCCTTWTTTTGCTTTTCTTGTATTTGCTACCAATTCCTTCTCTGGTTTCTCAATTCTTCATATCTTCTGAGTCACTTCATATCTTTCCAATTCTGCATCAGCAAGGGCAAATTAAAACCTTTGGCTTTATTAGAAACAGAAGTGAGTATTTCACTTATTTCCAATCAATAAAATAAATACAATTTGGGTCTTCACTTGGCTTCCAAATTTTGGAAACTGGCTGATTGCTTTTTAAGCCCACTCTAAATAACATCTTTTGTCAACCTCATTCTTAATAGAATCTTTCAAAACCACCATGGAAAATAGTAATTTTGCCAATTACTTTATCACATATACACAGTCTCGACTAATTATAGGTTTTTTTATTTTACACATTAAGAAAAGAGCCAAATGCTTTTGCTTATCTGTGTTTGGAATATTTCTGGTAAAAGTTTATCTGCCTACAGTAATATCATCTATTACCTATCTGCAAAAAGAAGAATCTCATTGTAAATTCTTAGTAAAATTGTCACCCACATGTCAGTATAAGCTGGTTTAGTCCTCTGTTTTCAAACACAGAATAATTCTCTCTCTACATTGCATGCYASTTAGTGCTTATGGAACCATAAAGATTAAAAGCAGATGATCATATGAAATATGGACTAGAGAAGGAAAAAATTAAAAGGAGGATCCATTTTAAAGGAGAGGTAAGAAAAACAATGTAAAGTAAGCACAAACACCAATTATATGTGAGCTTCCTAAATGTCCCTGGAAGGCAAAAGTAAATGTCTGGTGATTTTTCAAAAGTGGGATGAGATAGGAAATTTTTGGGGGGGATTATGTAAAAGAACTGCCAGAGAAAAATGTACAGGCAAGACTTGAAAGTCAATTAAGCAGATGATTTCTTACCCATAAACATAATGTACTTACAAATACTAGTTCTAGTACTGGGATTTTCTTCCTACTGTAAGGGCTAAAGTTAAAAAAAAGAGGAACTTCATTCACACACATGACCTTTAACATAAATTACAGGACTTGATTCATCCAATCTGACCTTTAAACTCTCTGTGGGAAATGGATATAAATTTGTTTAGTAGCTTCCAAGTAGAAAAAAGTGAAAACAAACAAGCAAAAAAAACAATACTTAAACCAATGCAGGATCCCCAAAGGATTGTGAGAACGAATTTCAAATTCATGGTAAGAAACCTGCAGCAGGATTAATGCAATGGCCAGGGAGGCAAAGTAGCAGCAACTGTCTGTTCTTGCTTTTTCTTTCTGCGAGAACCACTTGCAATTCTACTTTGATTGCTCTGTTCCTATTAACTTGGTTCCAAAAACTCCCTTTTGACCTCTGACACTCAGCCAAGCTCCCAGTTCACACCCTGTTGGTCCCACACTTRCCTGGCACTACAGAGAAGAGGAGTTGTGGGAGAGAAGGCACACTGGGGTAACAGCCATGCAGCAGCACATGTTATTCCTACCCTTAAGATGCTTTTTCTTACTCCTCCCACTTGGAAAAAAGTCAATGACCAACCTAGCTGATAAAAACTTTGCTGATTAGAGCAGATCCCAGATTTAAAGTCCAGCATCTCTCTTACAAACAAACTATTTTAGGTAAAAAAAGCTATAGAATTAGGAATAATCATGCTACCTTGGAACAGTGGATAATACTGCTGAATTCTGGAATAGCAGCAATGTTTTCTAAAAAAGGAATGGATATGCTCAGTAATCACTAGATATGATCAAGTGGTCAATGAACTGCAGTGAAAAAAACCAGAACTAAAGCTGTTCACATGTGGCCTGGCAGAAATGAATCTGGGGAAAGGGCACTGACAAAAGAGATGTCAAAATCTGAATCTGAGTCCCTACCTATGAACATATCATTTAATAATGAAACTTCCATGAAGTGATGTGCCTGTTATGAAATACTCTAAAGGTACATCAGTGTTATATGATAGCCTAAGAACTCAGTAGGGAGCACTGAAAACAAATGCAAGTCATTCACAAGAGAAGTTCCTTTCATTCCCTGCATCTGCAAAACATGTGTGAAGTGTTATCATCCTATACTTAACCCCATGATAAAGTGGCATGCCACTTTTTGCCAGTTCTGCTTTCAGCTGTGGCAGCACAATGAAAGTAAGCGTGCTGTATGGAAAGAGCGCTGCAACCCAGCACAGAATTTATTATTCCTGTGATGAGGGAATGCAGCTTGGAATCTATAGTGAAACCTCATAAAAAGCAAGTCTGAGCTTTAAAGTTTACACATAATTACTCATAAAATAGCAATTATCTTCTGCAGAGGCTTTCATGCAAAACTATCACACACAACCTTCATTGGAAATTACTTCTTTGGCTTTTCTTTCTGATGTGCCAAGGAACAAAGTGAAATTGCGGTAGTAATGCTGGTAGTCATATTTCACATCTGCAGCTTCAGGAACAAATCGTTTGTGAGTCCGTGCCAGAAGCGATCGGGAGCAGGCTGTTCTCCAGAACGCTGCGCTGAGCGCTCGCCAGTGCTGCAGCGCGGGCGCGCTCCGCTCGCTGCGCCTCACGCCGGAGCGCAGCGCTGAGTTTTCCCGCCTACCTTTCAGCTGCTCCTGATCCGTCACATCGCACTGGATGAACATCGTCCTCTGCGCTTCAAACTGCTCGTCCAGGGCCGCCTTGCTCTCCTCTCCGGCCTCGGAGTTGCGGTCCAGCAGGGCTACCTAATTGGGGAGAGATGAAAATGAGTGGCGGGCGGACGGGTGGATGGACAGACTGACAGGTCTCGAGCCGAGCCGAGCGCCGGGGGCTGCCGCCACCCCCATGCCCGCGGGTACCCGCTGGAGGCGGAGGGAAGGGGAAACGGGTTTCCCGGGGCTTACCTTGGCGCCCTTGCCCAGCAGCGCCTGGACGAAGGCCCGGCCGATGCCCTGCGCCCCGCCGGTGACCAGAGCCACCTTCCCATTGACGTGCATCGCCGCCGCGCTCCTGCCGCCCGCTCCGCGCCCGCCGAGCCCGAGCAACGCAGCGCGGTGTCACCTGCCCGGTTTCCTTTTTCCCTCCTTCGTGCCCTCCCTCCTGACCTCCCTCCTTCCCTCCTCCTCCTGCCGCCGCCGCGACTCATTCTCCCCCGCTCCCCACTCGTGTGACCGACCGAGAGCTGCCCGGAGCTGCCGGGGCGGGGGGAGCAGGGGCGGAGCAGGTCATTAAATCGTCCTCCCGAGTGTCTGCATGAACCCTGGAGATCAAGAGCCAGAGGGAAGACCAGCTTGATCTCCTCTTCCTACTCCCAGGCTCTCCGGAGAGGACAGGCTCGCGGTATCCCCCTAAAGAAAGGGTCCCAGGGCAGCCACAGCTCCGCTCGGTGGAGAGGGGGATTTGTGTAGTGTGTGTGTGCGTGTGTGTGCGTGTGTGTGCGTGTGTGCCTGTGTGTGCGTGTGTGTGTGTGTGTGTGTGTAAATCGCGTGAGAAGCTGCTGCAAGCTCTGATAAGGGCTGTTGGCAGCTCCTGGAGCTGTGTGAGTTTTGGTTGGCCAAAGCTGCATGAGGAGTAGGGTGAGGACAGCCTCGAAAAAAACAAAGAAAGGGCCCTCTTTTACAATTCAAAACAACCCACCAGCCTTCTCCCTCTAATTCTGGTAGCAAGCAGAATCTATTTGCATGAAAAAGCAACCATTTGATGGTACAGGTATCAGACATATCAGGCCAAGTGCTTTCCAGAATTTTTCAGGTCTACCTTTACCTTAAAACACCTTTAATTTCTTTTGCAGCTTATAAGCCAATTCTGCCTGCTACATTAATGTGAACTGTGTGCAACTAAAATTTCTGAACACCAATGTATCATACAGTAGAAATAAGAGCACCCTTAACAATCTAAAGCTGAAATAAATGTTCATTAGCTTGTTACAAGATTCACAAATGTTATCCCACAGAAAAAGCAATGTTACGGAGTGTTGGGTAGACAGGAAAAATCCATTGTTTCAGTCCTAAGCGCTATAAACATTGTAACCTGAAAGTGTGTGTGTGTGTGTGTGTATTTGTGTGTGTGTGTGTGTGTGTGTGTGTGTGTGTATTTAAACATACATGCTTGTCTTTTATATTCTGTTTCCTTTGACCTGGTGTATCCTTTTTACTTGTGCTTTCAAGGCTGTGAAGTACTTTGACTCAGCATTTCTGTCATTAACGTCTTGTAATTTCTCCTTGCTTCTCAGCAACAGTGTGCCTATTTTGTCCTCTCTATTATCCGTCCTTTGTTTTCTAGTAGTGTGCCTTTATCTATGGAATTMCTTTCTTTTGTATTACCTAGAAGAAAGAAATTACATTGTTCCTAACACCCAGCAAACTGTTACAGAACCATTAAGGTAACTATGTTACCTAATTGAGTTAATTGAGTAACACGAAATCTTGTTATTATAACCTTTGTCCTTAAAAATGTGAACTAATACAATCCAGCTGCTAAATTGGGTCACAGCCATTAAGTTTTCCTAAAGAATATGATTCATCATACTTCATAGGAGCAGTCAAAGATGGCCTCAGGGAATAGTGATTTGTTAGAATGTGATACCTGTGTTTCTGGGAGGACTCCAGTTTGCTTTGGAGCTGTGAAATTATGCCACCAAAAATGCCATGTCTAATGAGCTCTGTCACAACCAGCTGAGCCAGCTTCCCTAATTTGTTGTGACTCAAGTAAGGTGCCAGGTTAAAGTCACATCATGAGAATAGTATTACCACATCAATAGCATTGAAATGGAGTCTTTCACCCTCAATTTAACCCTGATAGCCCCTTGCTCCCCCTCCCCGTGGCAATGATCGACATCGGCCATGGTCTTTATTTCCACAATGTAATATATATTTTTAAGAGCTATGCAAAGGAAAAGATCAATAAAACCCCCTGTATCCCAAACAGCTGTAGCTGGAATGACCTTTGGCAACAGTTTTCTAAATTGTTGATAATTTGGCATGAATGTTAAGAACAAACTGGACTCTTCAGAGATGCTGGAATGCTTTAAGATCTGAGTGCACACACTGTTTCCATAAAACAAAGCTTATAAATCTGCGTCCAAAGCTCAGCTTGGTTGAGTGTAATCTTGGGTATCATAGGCTGAAATTGTTTARAAGAATTCTGATAAAGTCAGCCAGGGTTTCTAACCTGTTTTTGTTGACTGAACAGACTCTTACCATTATTCCATTCAAGAATCTAAATGACACATCTTCTGAGATGGCAAAAAACAGATCCACACTGATACCCCTAACCTTGAAAAAATGAGACAGTGTTCCTAATTAGAACAGAATGCGCCAATCTTCCAAACGCTGGAGGAAGTAATAGAAAGATGGCTCTATGATTTACCCCTGGAGCCAGCAGAAGTCGCTTGGCTGTGAGGGATATGTCTGCTTTGTCTTTCAAACCACACTGGATTTGTTGCTAACTCATTGCAGGTACTCTCAAGAGATTTGTTGCCATATAGTCCTTTACCAGCACAAGTTTTTAATTTGACCAACTGTATAAAAGATAAAATATTGCCGATAGGAAGAAGCTCCCTGTAGATATTCATTAGAAATCCAGAGTCAGCATCTCAGCCTTCCTGGTGAAACTTGGGGAGTAGGGAGTTATGAAATATTTTTCCTCTCTGATTCCTTAATTGACAGTTTCTGAAYGTTTCCTTCAATTTTAAAGAAAACTTTCATAGTAGCATGCAGACTTCCATTGTCAAAGTTTCAGTGGTCCACATTTTCAAATAACCTATCCTTAAGAAAACCCAGCCTCACATAAAAAGTTGGAATAGCTGTCACAACAGGCAAAAGCATACCATAAATGATCTGTCTTATTAAGTGGCCACTTTACAGAAGGCTGAATATATGCCTTGGGTACCTTATTCTATATCCTGATATGCTGATTTAAGCTGGTATGTTCATTTAAGAAAATGTGAGTTGATAATAGTGCGTTATTGAATGGTAGAATCAAACCAAATCCACCATATTTGAGATTTTTTTCTCCAAAATGACATTTGCACTAATGCTTGCCCTAAGGAGTTTTTATAAAATACATCAGCTAGACTGAAAAATATCTCAAACAACTATTATCTAAAATCACAGGCATGAAAAGACACTAAATGAGTCCATGAATATTTGATTTTGGTGCTTTGAGAGTCAATTAATTCCAAATAGATAATCTGTCTTTTCTGTTCAAAATTAAGAAATAATAATACTACTAAATAATGTCTTAGATGCTGAATCTGTTCAGGGTAAATCTTTCTCACAAACTCCTGCACAAGAGTGCAATGTCAAATGCTTATTAACATTTGCATGTTTTTTTGTACAGAATGTAATTTTCTTTACTGCTTTCTAGCACACCTAGCAACATGTCTTTTTTTTTCCTTCCTTTTATGTCTGTGGTTCCTCCTTATCTTGGGTTGATTTTGTGCCAATCCTGTATTCCTATATTCATCGGCTTGTAATGCCCAAAAGGTGTCTGCGCCTTTAAATACAACCYGGAAGAAGGGRCAGGGCAGCGCGGCAAGTTTAAAAACCGGGGCTGCCGCGCAGCCCTTTTGCTTTTGGAGCTCAGCTCCTTTGCTTTTGAGCTAAGCTCGGCACCGCGGGAGGTCCTTGCTCGCTGCGTGCAGAAGAGTTACATTGTTGCTGTTTAGCTAGCTCGGGTTTGTTAGCTTGGGCAGACAGTTTTTTCCCTAGACAGACTCCCTCTGAGACTGCTTTGATTCTGCTTCTGAAGCAATTCCGYGACAGGCAGGGAGAAAGCTGCGCGGCTCCTTCTCGCCCTGGAATCCAGAAGAAGCCAAGCCAGCGACAGAAAAACACTCCGAGCCCTCTGCTTCACCCACAGCGCAGACTGCTACCAAGTTGCCACTGTTGCCAGAGCAGCCGCTTGGACTCTTTTGTTTCTTTTTCCAGGGGATGGGAGTCGCCATTTTCTCCATGCCACGTGGCCGAGCAGTTGGTAGGGGGAGGAGGCAGCAGGTGTTCCTGAACTTAAATATCAAACAGTTACTTTTTATCTGTGTCCTGTGAGCCCTGTGTTTTGTTAACAAACTATTCTCTTTTCACTTTTTGTTAACAAACTATTCTCTTTTCRCTTACTAATCCCATATTAGTAAGAAAAAAATTATCAAATTTTTCGCTTCAGAAGAAACATTTACTCTGTAACATTTTTCTCTGAAAACATTATCTCAAACCGAGACACTCCTCTATTTCCCTCCATTTACTAAGTCCGTGGCTTATGCTGCAGCATTCCTCATAGACCACAGTGGCATCAAAAGTGTGAAGGAATTCCAGGCAGTTTTACTCTGTTTTTGTAAAGAAAGAAAAATATGGCCTCTCAGACATGTGCCACCCAGTTCATTCATTTTTTCTTACCATCTCTTCATTCTCTGCAAGGTGTTTTCCAAGTTGCTATGAGAGATAAGTGGTATCCCACTTGTGAATGGATGATCAGGCAAWGTGTGTAGCCGGGCATAAAAACACAGCTAAGCAGCATGTGTACTTTGGGATGTAGCTTAGTGCATTTCCTTCTACTCAGAATGAGTTGAAAACAAAACTAGAGAATTTACCCTAGCTTTGTAGTGGGCAATTAAAAGACAGATTTCAGGCCACAAATTTAACGTGGTGTGTATTCCTTCCTTCCTAAGAAACTGAAGTGTTCAGCAAGCATGAAACAGTTTTCCATGTCCAAGAGGCTTATTTGAAATGTAATTTCTATATTATTTCTCTGCATGTATTAATTTGAAAGGCATCAATTACAGCATAAGAAGATGAGCTTATGCAGCTATGATACATTTCAGATACTACACCTAGCCATATATACAAAAGAATTCAAGATATAGACTGGCTGCCAGAAATATCTAACTAACACAGAGGACAAGAAAAATGAATAACAGGCTCAGAAATTTGCCAAACTGCATTTTTAGAGCATATTTTTAGAGCAATGTCATATCAGCTCATGGAAGGTGAATGGATAGATTATTTTACTCTTCCAGGACAACAGCAGGACATGCACAAAATGTAATGTACTTGGGAAAAACAGGTTACATCAAAGTAGAGTACAAGAAAATAGTTGTCAAACATCTATTTTCATAGTGCTCAT